GAAAGCGGAGGGTCTCTTGATTTGCTTCCACCCAAATCGTCGAGCTTTGGATGCCTTCGTAAAGGATGCTGATGTGCTTATCCTTGAAAAAGACGTGCATGATGGGTGGGGCTAGGAAATCGTGCTTTGAGCGAGCCCGTTGAACCTTCTTCAACTTCTTCTCATCAGTCTCCTCGTGTTTCAGGGCTTCCTGCACTGCTTTGTCTGCCTCACTCTGCCGCAACTGAAGCAGCTCTTGCCAAGCTTGGCAGTTCAACGAACCGCCTTCTTTGTCCTTGCGCAGATCGAGTGCCTGGCCCGACATAGCCAAGACACATCGCCGGTCCCACTTCGTAAGGGCAACGAAGCTGATTCCATTCACTTGCTTTTGTTGCGGCACCCACACACGACCGTGGGACTTGACAGTCCATTGCAAGTCAAGCACAAGATCCTCGTCGGCCATGATTAATGGCGATCGATCACACAAAAATCCGATCTTTTGAGCTGGACAGAACCTGCAACGATTTAGATAAGAGATGCTTCCAATAAAGCTTCAGCCGTACATGCAATCTACACTGATGGCACAGTGCATCCGAAGCTGCATGCAACTTCACATGCAATCTACTTGGTGCAAACCTTTTCAAACCATGTATCGTGAAGCGGATCGAGCATGCACAAAACTCGACCGAGCACCTTACAACTCGGGCGACCTGCAAAATCTCGCATCGAGCCTCGAGTCGTTCACTCCTCATTGCCTTGCTTCCCGATTTTTCGCCTCTTCGGGCTGATCGGGAGCAGCTGGTCCTCGGCCGGGACTGCTTTGTCCTTGTGAATGGTCAAAATCTCGCCAGCACTTAGTGCTGCATGATTCTTCAGCAGAGGGAGCCGCACCAGGCTGCCCTTCGTGCCCGAGTAATGCAAACTCATGTTAGCCCTCTCAGGGTCGTCCACCGTCTGTACCAGGAAATATGGGCACAGGAAGCCCGTCAGCTCGCCGTCCTCCTCGCTCGCCTTGGGCATGACATTCGTGGGCTGGATGGCGAAGTACAGATCCTCTATCGGGTCTTTGAGCATCACATGGGCTCCGGAGCCGATTCCCTTCTGATTCCCGGCTGAGATCTTCCAGCTGTACGGCACGAGAACCAATTTCTGCTTCGCGATCTGCCCGGCGCTCTGGATGCACTTATGGGGCCGCAGCTGCAACTGCAACTTTTCCATGGCCCCATCCACATCATGTTTCGTGCACAAGTCGTGCATCTCGTGCTGGATGAGTGCCATGATACGGGCCTTCGTCCACTCTGCATGCTCTGCTGCCGGCCCGAACCTCCCAAGGTCGCCGATGTGATCAATCTCTGCCTTCGGAACGAAGGGGACCCAAGCTCCCTGCAGGAAGACGTCCATGTGGCACTTCATCATGCGACCGTCCGAACCCATAAGTCTCACGAAATTGCCTTGAATCTCCGTCACCGTGCACTCTGTGCGATCTTTCTTCCGTCGCACGGACATTCCGGCTTGGATTCCGATGTCAGTCAACATCTGCTCAGGGCTCTTGAAGCTTCCGTCTGCATTCAACTCAATCAAGCGGTCAGTGGAAGGCTTGCTCCCACTCGAGGTGGGCATGTCTTCTGCCTGGGCAGCCCATGGGGATGCAATGTTGCACTGCAGAGCCGAGCTCAACAGGAGGATGGCATCGTGTGCCAACCCTTCCAGAGAGGCATACTTCTTTTCGTTCTCGACCCGGATGCCGAGAACGTGTGCAATGACATTGCAATCGACGACCCCCATGATGTT